TAATATAATATAGATATGAGGATTGATGATAAAAGAGTTAGGTTATGCAAGAAGGCGATAGATACAACGGATAAATATAGTTTAGATGCAACAATAAAGGAGTTTGTTGCTGCTGCAGCACACTTTGCTGCTGCTGCTGCTGTTGCTGTTGCTACTGCTGCTGTTGCTGCTGCCATGCACAGCAGCAAAAAAAAGAGCCAATTGGAGGGAAAAAGGAGACAATTAAGAAGAAGCAGAAGGAGGAGACAGAGACGCAAGTCTCCATGCACCATAATATCCTTGTAATACATTTGTTATCTAAAGGAGACACATAAAGGAGACAAAAAAGGAGAGATATAAAAAAGGGGACAAATAGAGGAGACACACAAAGGAGACACATAAAGGAGACAAATAAAGGGGACACATAAAGGAGACAAATAAAGGAGACACATAAAGGAGACAAATAAAGGAGACACGTGGAGGAAACACATAAAGGAGACACATAGAGGAGACACATAAAGGAGACAAAAAAGGAGACACATAAAGGAGACAAATAGAGCAGGCACTAATAGGAGACAAAGAAAGGAGACACACTAAAAGCAACACTAAAAGGAGACACTTATATAAGACACTAAGAGGGGACACAACAGGAGACCCTAGGAGGGGCCATACAAAAAAAAGGAGACAAATATTAAACCCTAAACCCTAAACCCTAAACCCTAAACCCTAAACAAGATAAATCCTTACCCCTTTAAAAACAGCCAAAGGAAGGCATACAAGCGCGCATGCGCTTGCTGCAACAAATACAGCAACAACAACAGCAGCAGGAGCAGCAGCCGCATCAGCAGCAGCAGCAAATGGCAGCAGTTGATGCAAAGAGGTCCCTAACATCAATACATTCGCTATAAACACTTCTATCCTAAACCCTAAACCCTAAACCCTAAACCCTAAACCCTAAACCCTAAACCCTAACCTCCGTTGTATACAAGGGAACCGGGAGTTGCGCTGGCAACAAGAAGAAGAGAAACAAGAATACCCTCATAAGAGACAATAGAGAGAAGCATCAGTGCTGCAGCAAGGAGACACAAAAGGAGACACTTAATTGGTGGAGCTTGTGTGTGCTGCAGCAGCAGCAGCAGATGCTGTTGCCTCTGTGCTCTGTTGCTGCGGCAGGAGACAAGAGGAGATAGGAGGAGACAGGGGAAGAGAGAAAGGAGACAGTAGGAGACACAAGGAAATGCAAGGAGACAGAAGGAGACAGCAGAAGGAGACAGCAGCAGGAGACACATAACGAGGGGAATGCAGCAGCAAGTGTCTTCTTTTTTTGTTCTTTTTGTCTCCCTTTAATATAAAAGAAAAAAAGGAGACACTATTAATAATAAAAAGAAAATAAAAAGAATAAAAAGAATAATAAAAAGAGACAAAAGGAGACAAAAAGAGACAAAAAAGGGACTGTCTCCTTCTTCTTACCCTTAGATGTATAGTACCACTGCAGCACGAGGGGGGCCCCAGACACCTGCTTATGGGAAGCAGCACCTGCTGCAGCAGCAGCAAAGAAGTGCAGCCAGTGTCCCCCCATATCCGTTAGCAGCAGCAGGAAGAAGACTGCATGCATGCATGCAACAAAGGAGACAGAGAGAAAGGAGACAGTTTATTTATTTATTGTCTCTTTTTTGTCTATTTATAAGGAATAAAAGGAGACACTAAGAGACAAAGGAGACACTCAAGAAGAAGCAAAGAAAAAAAAGAGACAAACACAAGACACAGCCACACAACCCTCACCAGCAGCAGCAGCAGCAGCAACAGCAGCAGCAACAGCAGCAGCAACAACAGCAGGAAGTACCTGCTGAATATTGAGGAAAAGCAGTAGCATTAGATATATAAAGGAGACAGGTAGATATACGATCTAATAATTGATCTAAGCAAGCCCCAAAGACGGAGACTGCACGCATGCATGCATGCAACAGCAAACACACACAACATATGTCATGATTCTGCTGCTGCTGTTGTTGCTGCTGTACGTGCTGCTGCTGCTGCTGCGGTTATACGTGCTGCTGCTGCTGGTGCTACGGTTATACGTGCTGCTGCTGCTGCTGCTTCTGTAGCAAGAGTGTCTGCTGTGTTGCTGCTGTCTCCCGTGTCTGCTGCTGCTCATATCTTTGCACAGATAAGAAGTGTGGGGCCCCACAGCAGCAGATTGGGGTGTATACGCAGCTAACCCTCCTTCTGCTATCCTGGATATATGTTTAGGGTTTAGTGTTTAGTTAGGCCTTAAGGAGTATACAGAGGCCTAGGGTTTAGGGTTTAGGGTTTAGACTTACCTTGCTTTAACATTCTTGCTGCATGCCCATCTGCTGCATCAAGCAACTGCGACGCTAAATAGCAGCAAATAGATCCCCATTGGTTGCTGCATGCAGCAGCAGCAAGCAGCAGCAGCAGCCGTACATAACCTGCATATACACCACAACAACAAAAGTACCAGCAAACAAACACCACTATGCATGCATGCGTATGCATGGGGTGTATGCGCACCTACACACAATCCCCAGCAGCATCCAGGGCCCCCTAAACCACTAGGGGGCCCCCTTAGCCCCTGGGGGGCCCCTAAACACCGGAGAGGCCCTAGGCACTAGGGAGTGTCCTAGTGTCTTAGGGCCAACATGTTGTACACCCTGCATGTATGGGTTCCATAAGGGGGCCCCCAGGACTAAATGAGGGCCCCTAACTGCTGCTGCAGGAGTTGGGGGGCCTACCTATAAGGTTAGGTACGTAGAGGAGTACCTGGTGGGCCTCCACGGGTGCTGGGGGTGGTACTGCTGGAGCTGCTGCTGCTGCTGCTGCTGTGTGTGTTGGCTTCACCATCGCAGGTCAGTAATAAGAAGAAATTAGTAACAATAAATATGCTGCTGCTGGGGGCCCCCAAAGCTGCAGCAGGAAGATAACGTGGTTAAGCCGGTGTTTGGAAGGGGGGAGGGTTTAGGGTTTAGGGTTTAGGGTTTAGGGTTTATGATAGATGATACAAAAAGGTATAAAGGCATAAGAAGAAAAGAAAAAAAAACAGTTGCCTATACACCCCATTAAAATCGTTAATTAACACACATAAAGGAAGAAAGCATAAAAGGGAGGGGGCCCCCCTAACCCTATAAATAAGCTCCAGCCAGCTGCTGCTGCTGCTGCAGCAGCAGCAACAGCTGCTGCTGCTGCTGTTGCTGCGACTGCAGCAGCAACAAGCAGGGGTTTTTGTGCAGCAACAGCAGCAACGACAGCCATATATCTGTGTTAATTGTTTATTATTCTCTATTTACTTTATTTAAGGGTACTAGGTTATTCTTTGCTGCTCTCTTTCCTTAGGGGGCCCCCTCTCCCGTATAGTGGTGCCACAGCGGCCGCCGAAGCTCGCTCGTGCTGCTGCTGCTGTGGCTGCGGCTGCTGTGGCTGTTGTGGCTGCGGCTGCTGTGGCTGATGCAGCAGCAGCAGCAACAGCAGCACTTCTTTTGGCTCTTATAGGGCCCTGCAACCTTCCAGTACCTATACAGCAACAGGGGGTATCAGGGGCCCCTCGCGCCTCTAGGGGCCCCCGGGGGCCCCCGCAACAGCAGCGTTTGCCCATCACAGCAGCAGGAGCTGTAGACATCTAGGTAGCAGCAGCAGCAGCAGACAACCTTCCAGAAGCAGCAGCAGACAGCCTAGGACGGGTATCTGCGGCAGCAGACAGGAGCAGCAGCTGCAGCTGCAGCAGCAACCGCAGCAGCGGGAGCAGCAGCAACAGGTCTTAAGACAGGCTCCCAACCTACTTAGGTTTGGCCTCAATAGTGTTGGCTGTATGCAGCAGCAGTTGCTGCATGACTTGCTGTAAACTCTTGCACACAGCAGCAGCAGCAACAGCAGACAGCTGCAGCAACATCAGCAGCAGCAACATCAGCAGCAGCAACATCTGCAGCAACATCATCAGCAGCAACAGCTGCATTAGGCAGGATCAGCAGCAGCAGCAGCAGCAATTATCAGCAGCTGCAGCAGATATTAGTAGCATCAGCAGCAGATATTAGCATCGGCAGCTGCATACATACATTATTATCCGCATACATACATCAGCAACAGCAGCAGCAGCAGCAGCAGCAGCAGCAGAAGATGGCGGACCCCATAGACCAGTGGCTAGAGGAGTCCCTCTCATTACCCGCACGACTGCAGCGGGAGTTGCGCCTCATGGCGGAGCTGGATGCAGCAAGTGCTGCTATAGAATCACAAGTAATACTCATGCTGCTGCTGCTGCTGTTGTTGCTGCTGCTGTTGCTGTTATTGCTGCTGTTGTTGCTGCTGCCGGTGGTGTTGCTGCTGTTGTTGCTGCTGATGTTGCTGATATTTGCTGCTGCAGCTGCTGTTTGTTGTAGTTATTGTTGCTGATGATGGTGTTGCTGCTGCTGTTGCTGCTGCTGCTGCTGCAGGTGCGGCAGCGAGAGGAGCATTTCTTACGCCGCTTAGAGGCCCTTAGAGCAGAGGGAAGTCCCCTCGTCTTTGAGGGTATGGAGGAAGAACTTAAACAAATACATGTAGGGTTTAGGGTTTAGGGTTTAGGGTTTAGGGTTTAGGGTTTAGGGTTTAGGGGTTGGAGGCCAAAGTTGCCTTTGTTTCGACTGTAGTATGACAGTCTGTGTTGCTGCTGCAGCTGTTTCCTTATGTGTTGCTGCTGCTGCTGCTGCTCCTGTTGCTGCTGCTGCAGGAGATGCAGCGGAAAAGTCGTGCGCTGCTACGAGAGAAGGTAGAGATAAATCGTCATGCTGCAGCTGTGCTGCATGCGGAGCAGCAGACCCTTGCTGCTGAGCGACAGCGGCTGCTGCAGAACCCTGGTATTGCTGCTGCTGCTGCAGGAGGCGCCACAGCAGCAGCAGACAATGCTGCAGCAGCACCTGATGCAGGTGGCGCAGGCGGGAGCAGCAGCAGCAGCAGCAGCGCTCTGAGGAGACGGGGGGGAGCCGACCGTCTATCAGCAGGAGCAGCCGGAGCAGCAGCAGCACAGCAACAGCAGCAGCAGCAACTTGCAAACAGCAGCAGCAGCAGCAACGTAGATCGTTCGCATGCAGGTGTTGCCATGTCAGGTGCTTCGCATGCAACTCGCGGCTGGCCTGCTTCAGCGTCACAGCAGCAGCAGCAGCTGCAGCAGCAACAGTTGCAGCAGCAGCAGCTGCAGCAGCAACAGCACGTTGAAGACCCCACGATGCTGCACCATCAGACGTACCTGCAGCAGCAGCAGCAGTTGCAGATGCAGCAACAGATGCAGCGACAGCACATGCAGCAGCAGCAGATGCAGCTACAAGCCCAGCAGCAGCAGCAGCATCCGCTGCAGCAGCAGCACTCTATGTCGCAGCCGCAGTACATGCAGCAGCAGCAGCAACAGCAGCAGCTGCAGGACCCCCGCTGCTACTCGGCCCCTGCATCGATGCCAACAACACAAAGTAGCGATGTAGCAGCCGAGGTTCGTCTGCTGTTGCTGTTGCTGCTGCAGTTGCTGCTGTTCTGCCTGTTGCGGTTGATGCCGCTGCTGCTGCTGGAGCTGCAGCTCCAGCAGCAGTTGCTGCTTCTCTTCGTGTCTCGCTGCTGCTGCTGCTGCACGCCACGTTTGCTGCCCTCCTGCCCTCCCTTGCTAGCATCCCACGCCTCTGCTTTCCTTGCTGCTGTTGCTGCTGCTGCTGCAGAGCGGAGGCAGCAACTCTAAGACGGCTCGAGGGAGACTTAGTAACTCTAGTTCTGTGGGGGCCGGGGGGGCCCCCGGGGGGCGACAAACAGCAGCTGCTGCAGAGGGGCCCCCTCATGGTGCTAGCCATTCTCGTAGAGGGAGGAAGGTAAATATTTTATGTACATGCTGCTGCTGTTGCTGCTGTTGCTGCTGCTGTTTCGTTGCTGCTGTGTTGCTCCCTCCCTGAGAGTCCCGATACGAGCAGTACTAGCAGCAGTACTAGAAGCAGCACTAGCAGCAGCAGCTCGTATATGTGTCTCCTTGCTTGGTTTGTTGCAGGCAGCAGATAATCTGTTGCTGGCTAGACACCCCAGCAGCAGCACAGCAGCAAGCAGCACGAGTTCCCCTCCTAATGAAGGGTTACGTGCTGCAGCAGCAGCAGCATCGGGGCCCTTAGGGGCCCCCGCAGCAAGTGGGGGCCCCCAGGGCCCCGCCCCCGGGAAGACGCATGCAGGGGCATCAAGGAAGCAAGGTGGAGCGAAGGCAACAGCAACAGCAGCAACAGCAGCAGCAGCAGCAGCAAATAGAGTATGTCCCTTTTTCTTGTGTCTCCTTTCAAGGCGTCAAAATGTTTGTCTCCTTTCTGTCTCCATGTGTCTCCTTTCTGCTTCCTTTGTCTCCTTCCTATATGTCTCCTTCAGTCTGTCTCCTTTCTGCCTCTTCTTTCTCTCTCCTTGCTCTCTATCTCCTACCTATCTGTCTCCTTTTAATATGTCTCCTTATTCCCCTCTCCTCTATCTCCAATCTCCAGTCTGTTTCCTTTCTGCCTCCTCTTTCTGTCTGTCTCCTTTGTCTCTATCTCCTATTTATCTGTCTCCTTTTAATATATCTCCTTATTCCCCTTTCCTCTATTATCTCCAATCTCCTATATATTATCATTTATATTCTGTCTCCTTTTCTTAATTATAATATACAGGACGATCCTGCTCCTTCTTCCTCTACTGGTGAATCATGGGAAGGAGTATGCCCTGTATGCTTAAGAGGGGAGGCATCAGCAGAAGTTATAAAGATGGTTGCATGCGATTCATGTAATCGATGGTTCCATTTCGAGTGTGTTGTAAGTATATATATATACAATCAGGGTTTATAAGGGTTTATAAGGGTTTATAAGGGTTTATAAGGGTTTATAAAGGGTTTATAAGGGTTTATAAAGGTTTATAAGGGTTTATAAGGGTTTATAAGGGTTTATAAGGGTTTATAAGGGTTTATAAGGGTTTATAAGGGTTTATAAAGGGTTTATTAGGGTTTATAAGGGTTTATATGGGGGTTAGGAGGGTTTATAAGGGTTTATTAGGGTTTATAGGGGGGTTAAGAGGGCTCATAGAGGGTTTATACGGGTTTAGGAGGGCTTATTAGGGTTTATAAGGGTTTATAGAGGGTTTAGGAGGGTTTATAGAGGGTTTATAGAGGGAGGGTTTGTATGGGGTTAGGGTTGAGGGTTTATAGGGGAGGTATGAGGGTTTATAGGTGGTTATGCTCCCTACGGCTGCCACCCTAACAAACTGTCTCCTCTATCTGTCTCCTCTTTATCTGTCTCCTTTATATGTATCCTTTATTTGTCTCTCCTGTCTCCTTTTCTTTTGTCTCCTTTTTAGGGTTATGCGGGGGAGACAAGAGAAGATGATACTTGGTACTGTCCAGACTGCTACAGGGGGGGTACAGCAGGGGCCCACTAAAGAGCCCCTGGGAGCCCGCAACAGGGAGCCCCCCATAGGGGGCCCTAGAGGGGCCCCCCAGCAAACCTTTCACTTAACCCTTCGCCAGGGGCCAAGGGGCCCGTTAGGGGGCTCTAATGGCCTCAGTATGGCCATAGATGTTTTGTGGGGCCCCACTGGGTACAGGGGCTCCACGGGGGGGCCCACACGGGCCCCCGTTCCCGTTAGGCCCATTAGGGCCCCCAAGAAATACTTAACCCCTCAACAGGTGCTGTTGAGGTGGCCCCAGGGGGCGCCGTTGGAGAGGGGCCCCTTCTTGGGGGCCTCTCGTAGGTGGGCCCCCTCTAGCGCTTTCACATACAACGCAGCAGCAGCAGCAGCAGCAGCCGCAGCAGCAGCAGGAGCCGGGGGATGTGGTCGTGTCCCCTTATGGATCTCCTCTTTGGTAATTTACTTATCTCTTTGCATGCATTAATAGAATTCAGTACTGAGAAAAAGAGACACTCAGACCTTAAACCCCAAACCCTAAACCCCAAACCCTAAAGAAGTAGAAAGAGACAGCTAACGCCACGCTTAGGGTTAGGGGGAATAGCGTAATAGACGGGAGGAGACAGTAGCAATCCACCACCAGTACCACCAGCAGCACTAGCAGCAGCATTAGCTACTAGCAGTAATAGCAGCAGCACTAGCAGCAGCAGCAGCAAGAAAGGAGACAGTAGGAGACAGTATTAAGCTCCGCATAGTTTATCAATAGCGTCATCCAAAGGGTATCGTTTAAATTCCATGTGTCTCCCTAATGGGGGGCCCCCACTCATTGGGGGGCCCCCCATGGAGGGGTGGGCCCCTAAGTATGGGGTCCCCCCCTCATCGCTGCCTACTAAAGAGAGGCCCTGTACTAGATCAAAGGCCCCCTGTTGCAAAGCAGCAGAGATGGGGAGTGACTCCCTCTTCCTGTTGCTGCTACTGCTGTTGCTGTTGATGTTGATACTACTGATGCTGCTGCTGCTGCTGCTGCTGCTGCTGTTGCTGCTGTTAGGGGGAGCAGCAGCAAGAAGTGTCTCTAAATGTTTAATAAAAAGGAGTACTTTTGCTGTTAATGATCTAAATGCTTTATCTAAACAATAACCAGATAGTGCACTTGTCTCCATATAGGAGACACCTAATCGTACTGCTAAGGCCTCTGCTTCCCCTCGACCCACAGCCTACAGCAGCAGCAGCAGCAGCAGCAGCAGCAGCGACAACATTAGCAGCAGCATGGGGCAAGTAAGCGGCGGGAACAGCAACAGACAGAAGCACATCCAGCAGCATGACAAAAAAACAGCAGCCAAAAAGCTACCTGCAATAGTAGCAGCAACAGCTGCAACAGCAGCAGCAGCAGCAACAGCAGCAGCAGCAGCAGCAGATGGTATTGTAGTACCCTATTCTTAAGGTCTGATTTGTTGCCTACAAGCAGCACTTGTACATGCGGTGGTGCTTCTTCCTTCATTGCTGACACCCAGTAATCTATACCTATACACCAGCAGCAGCAACAGCAGCAGCAGCAACAGCAGCAGCAGCAACAGCAGCAACAGCAGCAGCAGCAGCAGCAAACAAACATCCATTCTACTGCCAAGCTAAACGCTACTAAACCCTAAACCCTAGATCATTTGCCATCAAACCCTAAAGCAAATGCCCTAAACAATAAACCCTAAACACTAAGCCCTAAAACCCTAAACCCTAAACCCTAAACCCTAAACCCTAGACGTACTGCGGAAGCTTTCTTTGCAGCTCAAATCGAAGACAAGCATAACTCCCATTGCCGAGCGAAAGTAAGCTGCAGCAGCAGCAACAGCAGCAGCAGAAACAGCAGCAGCAGCAGCAGAAACAGCAGCAGCAGCAGCAGCAGCAGCGGACACACGTATACATACACCTAGGTCACCTCAATATATTTATATCTAGCTGCAGCAACAAGAACGGCGAAAGCAGCAGCAGCAACTACCGCAGCACCAACACCAGCACCAACACCAGCAGCAGCAACAGCAGCAGCAGCAGCAGCAGCAGCAGCAGCAGCAGCAAGAAAATATATACCTTGAGTAACACTTCTATACCTTTCATGCCCTGCTGTATCCCATATCTGTACTTTTGCTATTTCTTCCCCTATTGCCATCATCTTACTCATATAGTCTATACTTAGTGTTGCAGGGAGAGGGTATAGGGGGCCCCCCTCGGGGGCCCCCTGGGAGTCCATCCCCAGCTGTGGTAGATCATCGGGCCCCTGGGGGAGCCCTAGAGAAGGGTCCTCGTTCGGCGGCCCCTGCAGGGACCCCTGAGAAGGGTGCCGGAGGGCGGACACCTGGGGGGACACCTCGGTAGGGTACTGGATGGGGGGCCCCACAGAAGGATCTTCTTTGGGCGGCCCCTTGAGGGGCCCCTGAGAAGGGTGCTGGAGGGCTGACACCTGGGGGGACACCTCGGCAGGGTCCTGGATGGAGGGCCCCTGGGGGCCCTCCGAGGGTCTCTTTTCGTGGGAGTGGGGGCCCCCATGGTGACTGTTATGGGGGCCTCGGTGTATCTTCGAGGGGCCCCTTGAATTACGAGACCCTCTATGGGGGCCCCCCTGGGGCCCCTCAACAAAGCGGAGTAACATACTGCTTTTGCCTACACCGCTGTCTCCTATAGACAGATAGACACAGGGGTTAGGGTTTATAGCAATTAGGGTTTCGGGTTTAGAGTTTATAGCAGTTAGGGTTTAGGGTTTAGGGTTTAGGGTTTAGGGTTACCTATAAGGATAAGCTTAACAAGGTAATCATAAGCAAGAGCAGACTGTCTCCTTGCCCCTCCATTAAGTGTCTCCAATGCAAATTGAACAACATCAGAGGCAGCCATTGTCCCTTTACTGCAGCAGAAGCTGCTGCTGCTGCTGCTGCTGCTGTTGTTGCTACTGCTGCTGCTCTTGTTGATCCTATCAAAACACGAATCCTCTAGTGCTTGGAAGCGTGGTACAAGCATGCATGCCCTGCTGCTGCTCCTACAGCTGCTGCTGCTGCTGCTGCTGCTGCTGCTGCTGCTACCGGCAACAGCAGCAACTGCAGCAGCAAAGGGGAGGGACCTGCTGTTGTTGAAGTACAGTAGAGCAGCAGCAGCGGCAGCTGCTGCTGCTGCTCTAGTCGAGGAGACACTGGGGCCCCCTGCTTTTGTGTAGTGTGTAGTGTGCGTGTGTATGGTGCGCCGGTGCACGAGGGGCCCCTGGGGCCCCAACGACAAAAACAGCAGCAGCAGCAGCAGCAGCGTGCAGCAGGGGGGGTTGCTAAGAAAATGGTATAAAATGAGGAGACGACAATCAATTACAATGCTAAAGAAGAAAGAAAGAAGACAGGACAGAGAGGTGCTGCTGCTGCTTCTGCTGCTGTTGCTGCTGCTGGTGCTATTGCTGCTGGTGCTGCTGCTGTCTGTCTCCTTTTTGAAGGAGACAGAGAAGAGACACTCGACCCCTTATTTATTTAATGAGACAAAATTACAATTAAACATTTAATAACAATTAATATAACAACTTCCGTCTTCAGCAGCAGCAGCAGCAGCAGTAGCGGAATCCGCAGCAGCAGCAGCAGCAGCAGCAGCAGCAGTGGTCCACTAGTGTGTGTATATATGTATGTGCTGTCTTCTGCTGTCCTCCCTCCTTATTATCATTTTTTCCTTTTTTATTAAATTATTTATATCCAAATATAAAGAAGGAGGCCCTGGGGGCCCCTCTTTCTGCAGTACCCTCCCTCTTAAGGGCCCCCAACTTGCTGCTCCCCGGTCCCTTCTGGGGCCCCCGACGATCTTCCTCTGCAGTGTATCTTCAGGGGCCCTTTTCCTTAGTACTCTTGAGGACCCCTTGTTATATTAGCTAGCAAACAGACACCTGGGGGCCCCGAGCAGCAGATGAGGTGGGCAGACTACCCATTGTTACCCACGGAAGAGTGGCTGCAGCAGGCTGCTGCTATTGCTGCTGCTGCTGCTAATGACGAAAACAAAGACCCAAAGGATACCCTCATACACCCCAATACTCCAACAGGGCAAACAGTCCCCGGGGGCCCCCTTGAGGGCCCCCTCGGTGTCCCTGTTGGGAGGCCCCTTGAGGGGCCCTTGGAAGAATCCACTGGGGGTCTCCTTGGAGGGTCCTTGGGGGAACCTCTTGGGGGGCCCCTGGGGGAGCCCCTTGAGGGGCTTTCCAAGGGCCCCCTAGGGGGCCCTCTTGATGAGTCATTGGGGGGCCCCTTAGGAGGGTGTACACCTTTAGAGACATCCGTCAATCTGTTTAATTTGGGGGCCCCTTTAAATGGGGTGTATGGTGGGCCCCTTGAAGTAGGAGAGGGGGGGGGCCCCTTCTTGGACTCCTCTATAGGAGACGCCTTGATGGGGCCCCTAGAAGGAGACGGTATTTTAGAGTCTTCTTTTGTCCCCTTTGCTGCCCCCGAAGAAGATTGGATAGAGGCACCACTAGGGGGGCCCCTAATTACTCCCTTGGGGGCCCCCCTAGAGACAACCCTGGGGGAGCCTTTGGAGATGACGTTGGAGGCACCCACAGAGACAAGCCTGGGGGCCCCAACAGAGACGACTTTGGTGTCCACCACAGAGACGACCGTAGGGGCCCCGCTTAAAACGACCGCGGGGGCCCCCTTAGAGACTTTCCTAGGGCCCCCCTCAGAGACGACCTTGGAGGCCCCCACAGAGACGACTATGGGGGGAGCCTTAGACAGAACCCTGGGGGCCCCATTAGAGACGACTGTAGGGGTCCCAATAGAGACGGCCCTGGGGGCCCCCATAGAGACGATTCAGGGGTTCCCTATAGAGACAACCGTTGTGGGCCCCCTAGACTCGGTCCTGGGGCCCTCCCTAGACCCGACCCTGGGGCCCCCCCTAGAATTGACCCTGGGAGTCCCCCCCATGGGGTTCCCTCTAGGAGACAGTTTCTTAGACACAACCTCTGGGGGCCCCTCTGGGGTCCCTCTGATGCCCTTGGCATGCAGCGATATGGGGCTGTCTGTTGAAGACTCCATTGGGCCCCTGGGGTCTGTCTGTGGGGGCCCCCAGGGGCCCTTGCTACCCCCGTTAGGAGCCCCTGTGGGGCCCCATATACAGGAGACAGCTGCGACGTTTGTCCCCTCATACACAGGGGTCGCCCCTAAAGATGCTCTAGGGGCCCCCCAAGAGAGGGATGAGGTTGCTGCAGGAGCAGCAGCTGCCAAGGAGACAACTGCTGCTGTAGGGTCTCCTAGGGGCCCTTATGTAAAGCGGGCCCCCCTACGGAAGACTTATGAGGAGGCCCCCAAGGGTCCCACCAAACAGCAGCAGCTGCAGCAGCTGCAGCAGCTGCAGCAGCAGCAGCGCCCTAAGGGGACCCTCCCCTCTGCGGCAGCAGTGGAGGCCCCCTTAAAGGAAGCAAAGATTCAAAAGGAGACACTTAGGGCAGGAGACACAATAAAGGAGACAATTCATGAGGAGACAATTCATCCTGCATGCAGATATATAGAACCTCTCCCCTTATCTTTCCTACAAAGACTAGGTAAACATAGGGGGCCCCTCAGCAAATATAATACCTAGGGGGCCCCTCAACCTATAATACCTAGGGGGGGCCCCAGCCTATACATATAATTCTTAAGGGGGCTCTCAGCATACATAAAACCTCGGGTATCGATCGGCCTATGTTGTACCTAGGGGCCCCCTGAGACTGTATAGTACCTAGGGGCCCCCTAAGCCTATATGGCACCAAGGGGCCCCCTACGAAGGGCTTTTATTGGCTAAATTAAGTAGACCCTAAAGGTGTTGTGTATATTATCTATGTTGCATGCATGCAGGTCTTGCTGCTGAGGAGACAGCTGCTTATAATGCAGCAATAAAAGGTAACTGTCTCCTTTGGCTACCCCTAAAAAGGAGACACTTTCCTCTTTTATCCGGTCTCCTTATCTATACTTTCTTACAAAATCTTGCTGCTGCTGCGTACCCTATTATCTGTCTCTCTTCTACCTCTAAGGGGGCCCTTCATCTACAGGGGGCCCTTCGTCAGGTACTATCGATGCTGTACCCTCACGGAGGCCCCCGTGGTAAGGGTGGTGGGGGGGCCCCTTCCGATACCCTTCAAGGGGGCCCCCAACGCCAATATCCCCAGGGGGGCTCCCTCGAGGGTACAGCACGACTTGTTGCGCGTATCTGCTGCTCTAAGGGGACAAAGGAGACAGCAGCAGCAGATGTAAAAGAGAGACACTGGCAACAGAGACACCTATTTATTAAATGGGGGGCCCCCAACACATGGAGGGAATATAAGAAAGACCTACAAGAATATAGCGAAGCAATAAGAAAACAAAAAGGGGTACGGTTGCTGCTGCTGCTGTTGCTGCTGTTGATGCATCAGCAGCAGCTGCTGCTGCTGATGCTTTATATGCTGCATTGATGATGCAGCACCTGCTCTTGCTGCAGTATATGCTGCTGCTGCTGCTGTCGCTGCTGCTGTTGCTGCTGCAGCTCCCTTGGCCTCCTCGTACACCTGAAGAGAGACAGCGCCTTAATGTACATCATCCTCTGTCTCCTTTTCGTTTTGCTGTCTCTCAAGAGGAGACACTTAATTCTCTTGCAAAAGGAGACACTTCTTCTCCTGATTCCTGTTTGTGCTGCTGCTGCTCTACAGCAGCAGCAGCAGCAACAGCAGGAACAACAGGAACAGCAGCAGCAGATGACGATGATGATAATGATGCTTCTTCTTCTTCTTCTGCTGCTGCTGCAGCTGCTGACGATGATGATCATGATTGCTGCTGTGCATGCGAGGAGACACTTTATATAGAAAAGGAGACACTTATACAATGGCCTCGTGTTATTGTCTCCTCTTCTGCTCTCTTTTTCTCTCTATTAATGCATGGTTATATAAAACTAGAGGACATTGGTTTGCTGCTGCTTGACGGAGTTACCTGCAACAGCAGCAGCAACTGCAGCAGGAACAGCAGCAGCAGCAGCAGCAGCAGCAATTGCTTCTGCTCTATTGATAATTATGACTATTTATTTAAGTACTTCCTCCCTCGTGCTTCCTCCTTACCCCGTATAATATGTACAACGGAGACACCCTTTACTGGAGTGTCTCCTTGTGGGGCCCCACAGCTTAACTGTCTCCTTCGTAAGTTATATTGTCCCTCCTTCTTATTAGGGGAGGCCCTTGGGTACCCTAGGGGCCCCCCTACCCTTGACATCATACGCTTCCCTCCCCAACATGCACCCTATTGGACTGCAGCAGAAGTTGCTGCTGCAGCATCAGGAGCAGCAGCACAAGCAGCAGCAGCTAGGGGGGGTACTCCAGCAACAGGGTTCTCCCCTGATATGGGGGCCCCCAGGGGGCCCCCACAAGGACAAATCTTCACTGTTTTAGTTCAACAGCTGCTGCTTGCATGCGACAACTTTTTTGCGTATGTTCTAAATACCAAGGGGCCCCCCCGCCAGGGGCCCCCCAGCCAGGGTGCCCCCAGTAAGGGGACAGCAGCAGCAGCAGCAACAGTAGCAGCAGGTGGAGAACGAGACGATAGTGGGGCCCCGCGCCCGTCCGAAGGGTCTCCAATGGAAGGAGACCCTTGGTGGTCTCTCCTTTTGGGGGGCCCCCAAGAAGGAGACAGTTGTGGGGTCTCCGTGCTGCTTGCTGCAGTAGCAAGGGAGTTAAGGGCCCAACATGTGTTGCATGCAAATACCCTGTGCATGCAGCGTGTCTCTTCCTTGCTGCCTCTGCAGCACAGAGAAGCAGCAGCAACACGATGGAGGCGCATGCACTCATTGCTGCTGTATATACAGCAGCAATGGGGCTTCTGGTGTCTCTGTGCTGCAGCAGATAACTTAAGGAGGAACCTCAATAAACTTGCCTTGTCCTTAGGGGGGCCCCACATCTACAACACTACAGGGGCCCCCTCCTCTGTCCCCTCCACCAGTCCCTTAGACTGGGACACCTTCCTGCACCCTCCTCCCCAGCAGCAGCAGCAGGCGGAGTCGCAGCTGCAGGAAAAGCAGCAAGAGGGGTGCCGGGGTACCCCGCTTGCTGCCGGGGCCCCCAGCAGCAGCTCTAGAGGCCTCCCTAACGGCATAAGAGGGGACGGTGATGGGGGTCCCCCTCCCCAGCTTTTAGAAGGTATGGGGGCCCCCAGTGAAGCAGCTCAGGAGGGGCCCCCTTCCTTATATGCCTCCTCGTCTACCGTTACTGCAGCAGCAGCAGCAGCTGAAGATCCTCCTTGGTTGTTGTGGCCATTTTCTGACTTACTTAGAGGGGAGCCTGCTGCTGCAGATAAGGATGGAAGCCCCACCCTGAATTGGGGAGCCCCACTGAGTTGGGGGGCCCCACTGAGTTGGGGGGCCCCTTTAGGCAGCAGCAGACCCACTATCGCTTTGCTGCAGCAGCGACTTGAGTTAGGGGTAAGCTTTTTCTTTATAGAGATGCTTGGGGCCCTCCTTAGGCAGCAGACCCTTAAGCATTATAGGGCCTACTGCAGCAAGGGACTAAGCAGCATTGATTGCTTCCTTCATTTCGAAGAGCAGCAGCAACACCAGCAGCAGCAGCAGCAGCAAATGCAACAGCAGCAGCAGCAGCAGCAACAGTTGGAGGATAATATTGTTGCTCGTTGCCGTCTTATAGCAAGGGAGACACTAAAGGGTCTCTTTAGTCCTCGTCTACTAGAGATAGACAGAATTGTCTCCTTACTGCAGCACAAAGCAAAAGGAGACACTTACAGACTGCAGCAGCAGCAGCAGCAGCAGCATGGATGGGGGCCCCCTCAGTGGGGGGCCCTCTTTCATGCCAAGGAGGCCCTCATTATCTGCAGCAACCCTACAGCAGCATGGTGTCTCCTTCGTTTCTTAGAGGCAAGGGGAATGGGGGAAGCTGTCTCCAATGCTGGCTGCTGGGAGTTCCCTGCTGCTGCTGCTCCTGGTGCTGCTGCTGCGGAGGAGGGACTCAAGGCAATGCCAGGGGAGGGCAGCAACCGTATCCAAAAGGGCCCATTCGCAGAAGGAGACATGGAGCAAGCATTCGTCTGCACCAGCAGCAGCGACGTCTCCACAGGAGGAGACGGACCCTGCAGCAGCAACAGCAGCAACAGCAGCAACAGCAGCAACAGCAGCACCAGCCAAGCTGGTTTTAGGCTTACAGTTGCTGCCAGTACCAATGCGGCGCTGCAGGGGCTCCGATCCCAAGGGTACGGGATTGTGGTGATGGCGGAGACACCCGAGAGGGAGAACCAGCTGCTGCAGGCTGCTGCCTGTTGCAGCAGCAGCAGCAGCAACAGCAGCAGCAGCAGCAGCAGCAAGGAGAAGACAAGAGAATTATTAGATATTCCTCCCCCTTTGCTGCTGCTGCTTGCTGCTGACGTTGTGCCTCATATTGCTTCTTCGCGTGTATCTGCAGGGTGCAATCTCCGCCGCCTTCTAGGGGCCCCCTGGGGGCCCCACATGGGGCTCCTTGTGGGTCCCCCTATGCGGGCCCCTTGGGGGCCCCCTCCAGGGAAGCGTTTTGAGTTGTTCCCGTTGCTGCAGCGGATCCGTCAGCTGCGTGGTAGTACTGCAGCAGGTGGTGTATCTGCTGCTGCAGTGCAGCAGCAGGAGTTGCTGCTGCGGCTGCGTCGTCCCTCTATTATAAATAAAAAAGGAGACAGTCTCTCTTATGGGTATGAGGTAAAGGAGACAGGGGCCTTTGTCCCTTCCCCATTAGCATGGGGACTGCTGCAGCAAATAATAAAAAGAAGCAGCAATGAACCTTTATGTGCTGCATATATTAAGGATAGGCAACATAAAAAGGAGACACTTTCCCATAAGGGGGCCCCTCATACCACCGGATATCTTGAGGGGGCCCCCAACCTGAAGGGTGCCCTCCAGGGGGCCCCCAAGGTTATAGAAGGGCCCCTACAGGTGAAGGAAGGGGGCCCCAATGGGGAGGGCTTCCTTTTGCTAGAGGTGCCGCCGCTGCAGGGGTGTCGAGACACCCCAGCAGCAGCGCAGCAAATATTTGTTGCAGCAGCAGCAGTAGCAAGAAAAGAGACACATTTAGCTAAGCAGCAATTAGCATTAGCAGCAATAAAGAGATTGCATACTCTTGGTGTCCTTAATGATAATCTGCTGCTGCAGCAAGTACCCTCCTTGCAGCCACCAAGGGGCCCCAGGGGGCCCCTCCATCATGAAGGGGACAGCTGCTGTGCTGCAGAAAGGAGACAGATAAGGAGGCAGGTACCCAACTGTCTCCGTATACCAGCAGAACTGCAGCAAATGCTGTTACAGCCCCACAAGTAAGGAGACACCGGGGAGGCCCGTCCTGCAGCAAATACTGCAGCAGCAGCAGCAACAGCAGCAGCAAGCTCCCGCAGCAGCAGAGAGAGGTAGAGCAGCAGCCGTCCGATACAAACGTCAGTAGCAGCAACAGCAGCAGCAGCAGCAGCAATAGATGATACAGCTGCTGCAGCACTAGAGACAGTCTGTGTTGTTTGTGTCTCCTTAGGGAGGACAATTCATTTAAGCTGTACATACACCGCGTGTGGTGTACACCCGTCACCTGGCAGCAGATGCAGCAGGAGCAGGAAGAGGAGGAGCAGCAGGTGCAGCAGGTGCAGCAGCAGCAGCAGCAGCAGCACGAGGAAGCAGAAGGGCAGCAACAAGAAGATGTGTCTCTCCCTGAGAGTCCCCTCTATGATAGCGGAGGACTACTTGGCTATTGGGCACCATTTAGCAGCAAAAGGAGAAGGCTAGCAGCAGCAGCAGCAGCAGCAGAAGCAGCAGCAGGAGACGCAGCAGCAGAAGCAGCAACAGAGGCAGCAGCAGCAGCAGAAGCAGCAGCAGCAAAATCCCTTGCTGTTGAACTTCTATCGAAGTTGTTCCCTAAGAAATCTGTCTCCTCTGTGCTGCAGGTTAACCCTAAACCCTAAACCCTAAACCCTAAACCCTAATTATAAGTATAGGTTAAGCATGCTCATGTTTCTTTTCTGCTGCTGTTGCTGCTGTTTCTGTTGCTGCTGCTGCTGCAGCCATTGGCGTTGCTGCTGCCGTCTCCTTTACCCGAGCCAGTGGTTATGTATGGGGTTTATCCTACGGGTTTAGGGTTTAGGGTTTTGTCTGAGGAGAGAGGAGAAGAGGATAAAGAATTATATAAAACCCTAAACCCTAATAAAATAAATAAAGGAGAAGAAGGGTTTATGCATATACAAGTAGACACACCAGAAGAAGATATGATTCTTTATATCAATAATGCAGAAACACTCAAAGCGCTACTCGTAAACCCTAAACCCTAAACCCTAAACCCTACATCCTAAACCCTAAACCCTAAACCCTAAACCCTAAACCCTAAACGTTGTGAGGCAAAATTATTGGTTTGCATTTCTTGTGTACTAACACAATTGCGGATGCCCGCTAGGGTTTAGGGTTTAGGGTTTAGGGTTTAGGGTTTGTGTGTGTAGACATTTACTTATGATATTCTTCTTCGTGCTGCAAGTGTCTCCAATTTTAATCCACAAAAGGAGACACCTAATGGGCAAAGTGTCTCCTTTTGGCAATCCTTACTAAAGGAGATAGGTGTACCCTCCTTAAACAATAACAAAGAAGGGACAGGGGCCCCCGGGGCCCCCAAAGGCCCCCCTGTACCCTCAAATACAGACACACCAACGGCTGCTGCTGCTCCCGAACAACAGCAGCAAGGAGACACGCAGCAGCAGGAGCAGCAGGAGCAGCAAGAGCAGCAGGTGCAACTAGAGCAGCAACAGCAGCAGCAGCAGGAGCAGCGGAAGCAGCATGAACATCCTGATGATCAGCAGCATCAGCATCACCATCAACAGCAGCAACAGCAGAAACAGCAGCAGCAACAGCAGCAACAGCAGCAGAAAAAGGAAGGAGACAATAATATAGATTCCTTACCTTTATTAATATTAGCACCATTAGGTTATGATGGTAAAGGGATAGATTTTTCTTTTATTTGTTTATTAAATATTCTTAATTGTTATGCTATTAGCAGCAAATGGTATGTTGTTGCTGCTGCTGCTGTTGCTGCTGCTGCTGCTGTTGCTGTTGCTGTTGATGGTGTTGTTGCAGCTGCTGGTGTTGTTGTTGTTGCTGTCTCTGCTGTTGTTGTTATTGTTATTGGTGCTGCTGATGATGATGAGGGAGAGAGGGAGAGGGAGGAGGAGAAGGAGACAGAGACAGAGACAGCTGCAGCAGCAGCAAGACGTAGCAGCAACAGAAAAGGAGACAGTTGCTGCTGCAGCAAATAGGAACTGAGCATGCAGCTGTATCCGTGTCTCCTCACCCCTCGTTGCAACCGCAGGAGCAGCAGCAACAGCATCAGCAACAGTAACTGGTGCTGCTGCTGCTATAGCAGCAGCAGCAGCAGCAAATATTCTTCTTGTTACTGCTGTCCCCTTTCTGCAGGAGACCTGAAGAAGCATCACGCTCCTTAATGGAGATGCATGACGAGGAGACACTTCGTCCTTATGTAAGAAATTTAGTGTCTCCTTTTTCTTCTTATATAAGTCTCCTTAGGTCCTCCTTATTAAGAATACAAAAGGAGACAGTCTCTACTGTCTCCATACAACAACCCCCGCAGCAGCAGCAACAGCAGCAGCAGCAGCAACAGCAGCAGCAGCAGGAGGGAGGCTCCACACTGTCTCCTGAGGAGTTGCTTACGTCCCCTCTGTCTCCTCTTCTTTGTGTTCATCAAAGTGTCCCCTTTGCTGACTTCTGCAGAGCAGGTAAGCTGTCTCCAAAGAGACACAGCAGAAGCAGTAGCAGCAGCAGCAGCAGTAGCAGCAGCAGTAGCAGCAGCAGTAGCAGCAGCAGCAGCCCATATGTCCCCCTTTATGTTTCTGTGTCTTCTTGGTTGCCTTTTTGTCCCTTAGTCTGTCTCCTTATGTGTCTCCTTATGTGTCTCCTTATGTGTCTCCTTATATGTCTCCTTATGTGTCTCCTTATGTGTCTCCTTATGTGTCTCCTTATGTTTCTCCTTATGTGTCTCCTTATGTGTCTCCTTATGTGTCTCCTTATGTGTCTCCTTTTTTTTGTGTATAGGGGGTATAGGTAAATATAGCAGCATAAGTCCGTTAATAGGGGAGGAGACAGTAGATAAAAAAAGGGGACAATTAATTTTTTATTTATATAATAAAAGGGGACAAGAGAGACCCCTTATCCGTCTTACTCATCAGACAAGACGTAGTTATCGTTATGTTGCTCTTGAGGCTTTCTGCTGTTTTGTAAGCAGCAGTAGCAGCAGCAGCAGCAGCAGCAGCAGCAGTAGCAGCAGCAGCAGTTGCAAGACTAGCAGCAGTAGCAGCACCAGTTGCACTAGCAGCAGCAGCAGCAGCAGCAGCAGCAGCAGCAGCAACTGTTTAGATATAGGAAAGGAGACAGTTAACCGCTGTATTGACCTTAAGCTATATTTGTCTCTTGTCTGTGTCTGCTGCTGCTGCTGCTGCTGCTGCTGCTGCTGCTGCTGCTGCTTAGGAATCTCCATGGCTACATCTTAACACCACCCCCACCCCCCCAACCACCACCATCACTAACAGCAGCAGCAACAGCAACAGCAGCAGCAGCAGCAGTACTATCAGCAGCAACAGCAGCAGCAGCAGCAGCAGCAGCAGCAGCAGGATTAGGAGACAGCAGCAAGTGTCTCCTTTTAGTGTCTCCTATATAAATCAATTAAAGGAAGGAGGCATGTGTCTCCTTAGGCCTCATCCTCATCCCTTATTAGGCCCTAAGGGTAATTCTTTCCTTATTAAGGGAAAAAGAATTAGGCAGGTATATTTATTTATTTATTTATTTATTTATTTATATATTAATTAATTAATTAATTAATAATTAAGGGTAACTTGTCTCCTTTTTGTCTCCTTTTTTTCTTTAATCGCTAATCTGCTGCAGCAGCAGCTGCTGCTGCAGATTTACCGCTGCAACACGCTGCTGCTGCTATTGCTGCTGCTGCTGCTGCTGTCTCCTTTTTTTGTAGGGATGTCGTTGGCTTACACGGCTAGAGCATAAGCCAACCCCTGCTGCTGCTGCTGCTGCTGCTGCTGCTGCAGATACTGCAGCAGCAGGAGATGCACCAGCAGCAGCAACAGCAGCAGAGACAGCGTACTTCCCCCAATTCTGCCGCCTCTGTCCCTGGACTGAACCCATCTTCCTCGTAAGCAGCAAGAGGAGACAGCAGCAACAGCAAGAGGAGACAGCAGCAGCAAAAGGAGACAGCAGCAGCTGCTGCTACTTCTACCGTTGCTGTTTCTGCTATTTCTGCTGCTGCTGCTACTGCTGCACTGCTTCTGTGACTTGCTGCTGCTGCTACTACTACTACTACTATTGCTTGTGCTTGTATCACTTGCTGCTGCTGCCCCTACTGCTGCTGCTACTGCTGCTGCTGCTGCTGCTGCTATGTATGTGCTGCTGCTGCTGCTGCAGCAACTAACATGGCTGTCTCCTTTATTTTATAATATAGAGACACTTTGCTGCCAATTAGAGATGAGAGACAAATTGCTGCAGCAAATATATATAAGGACAAAAAAAGGAATAATTAAATTAAGTAAGCATATACTGTCTCCTTTTCTTGTTGCTGCTACTGTTACTGTACCTGCAGCAGCAGCAGCAGCAGCAGCAGCTGATGCTGCTCCTGCTCCTGTTCCTGCTCCTTTTTGTCTTTATCTGTCTCTATTTATCTTATTGTCTCTTTCTCTCTGTCTCCTATTTCTGTCTCCTTTTGTCTCCTTTTTTGCTGTCTTTGTCTCTGTCTCTATCTCTATATATATAATTATAATATAATAATAATAATAATAATTATTATATAATTATATTTATTTATTTATTTATTTATTTATTTATTTATTTATTTATTTATTTATTTATAGGTATAGAGAAGAATTTATTATGTGCATCTCTTACATGTAGAGGATGTATCATTCACCAACCATTCAATACACAACAAGGAGACACTTATAATAAAGGAGACAAGCAACAAGGAGACAGTAAAGGAGACACTTATAATAAAGGAGACAATAAAGGAGACAATAAAGGAGACAGTAATAAAGGAGACAATAAAGGAGACACTTATCATCAAGGAGACACTTATCATCAAGCAGACAATCAAGCAGACAGTAAAGGAGACACTTATCATCAAGGAGACAATAAAGGAGACAGTAA